AAAGTGAGTAAATGCATGTTTCATGACTTGGTCTTGGAAAATGGCCCTGAGCAATCAATTATGAAATGTTCAAATAGGGCTCCTAACGCTCGAATTGAGTATAGCGGTGCAGATGGGATAACCTGATTAGGTTTGCCAGTGATCTGATATGTGTGACAAGAATGACAGTACTTAACTACATCAGCTTTTAAACCCGTAGCTCTATGGTTAGAGAGAGAAGAATCTTTACTCTGCTCCTCTATTAAAGTGTCCTTCAGGCTCATCTACAACCTCAGGTAAAGGATTAACTTTTCCATCAGCTAAATCATCCCCTTAGATAAGTGAATTACCTTCAATGGAAACTGGGAACGAATTCCAACTCTCACAATGCCTGACAATAAACTAGATTGAAGAAGAACTGAGTGTAGCGGAACTCCACACACACCTAACTCAATCCCTTGAATTAGTACATCAGACCCACATGCAGTTATGTCAGAGAATGGCAAAACGGATTCTAAAACAAATGACTGGGCAGCTTCAGCATCCCTCAGTATTTTAACTAGAATCCAGACAGTCATACCTCTCTAGTGTAATTAATAAACACAAATAAATACCGAAATCCTTTTTCCACCATAGACCGACTAATTAACCCTAGCTTTTCTGCTAGTGCATCTCATGGTGATTTATCTTCTAAAATTTGAGAAGAGTTTAGAGTTCATTTTCAAAATAAAGTAGACCTGATATGACAGGGTGAAGCGTAGCTGACTGAAACAAGCTCCTATAATGTTCCTGATAAGTCACCTACATCAGTAATGTTATCTATCTCTGCTATCAATTATCAGGAGCATACAACTCTTATGACCTAATTTAATTCAAAGTTGACTGACGTGATTTTGACTTTTATCCTACTTCTCTCCCTACTCTTCTCTACGAACAGGTGTTTTTACAGATGCTTTTAAAACTGTCTTGATGAAGCTTCTGCTTAAAAAGAGCAGCATGGAACCTTTAGTACTAAATAATTTCAGACCAATTTCAACCCTTCATTTTTTGAAAGGTTGTGTTCAAGCCATTAAACGTGCATCTAATAACAAGTTTTTTGAGAGGTTTCAGTCAGGTTTTGGTTCAAACCATAGTACTGAGACAGCATTGGTTCATGTTGTGAATGACTTCAGGCTAAGCGCTGCTAGAAATCCTTCAGTTTTGGTCTTATTGGATCTTAATGCAGCTTTTGCTACCACTGATCACAATATTCTCATCCACCATCTTGAATTCTAGGTAGGCCTCTCAGGCACAGTTTTAGAATCATATTTAGTTAATAGACAGTTCATGATTTCACTACAAAATCATTTATCAAAGAACATTTCTTGTGGAGTCCCACCAGTTTCAGTTTTAGGGCCTTTGTTTTTCTCTTTGTTCATGTAAAGCCCTAGTGCGTTCATTGCAGTGTCTGGAGACCATGTCTACCCATTTTCAGCCAGTTTGTGGACTGCAACATGAGAGAGAACAAGACACTGGACCTGTTGCATGCCAATGTCAAAGAAGCATATAAATCCACAGCTCTCCCCCCACTAATTCAGACCATAACCTGCTTCACCTCAATTCACTTTAGAAGCCCCTTGTTCAGAGACAGGAAGCGACCACGAGGACAGTGAGGAAGTGGTCACCTGAGGCTGCAGAAACAATGAAGAGCTGTCTGGAGGCTATACAATGGGATGTCCTATATGAACCACATGGTGAAAAAACCACAGCAATTACATTATGCATCACTGACCACATCAACTTCTGTGTGGACTCTGTTGTTCCCTCCAAGTCTGTCCATTGCTTTCCAAACAACAAACCCTGGGTCACCAGTGACTTAAAGTCTCTGCTGAATCAGAAGAAAAGGGCAGGAGACAGGGAGGAACTGAAGAGGGTACAAAAAGAGCATCAGACATCAAGACATCACTGGCTTCCACCAACAGAGCCCTATGTCAGCAGAGGATAAGCTTGAATGGGTGAATGAGTTAAATTAATTCTTTCTATTGGGCTATCCATAGCCTTCCCTTCCTCCACCACAGCCATTCACACCTGTGACCATCAACAACCACTGTCTGCAATGAATGCCTCTCACCCCACAACCCCACAGTTAATGTCTAATCTTTGTCATTTTCTTATGATTTTACATTAGCACTCATAACTTCTTGTATTACTAATAAGCTTTGTCACGTCTGTCTGTAAAGCAATTTGAGCTAATTATCGCCCCTGTATTAAGCAGAATTAGTGATTTATGATAAATTTTAGTAACAATTATTGATTAATTGGTGGAGTATGTACAGGTAGATTCATTCAAAAGAGGCCTTGAATATTCTGAATACTCGAATATTCTCGAATACTCCCATTAGGATGAAGCAATCTGAACCAAAAAATATGCTACATACCTTCATGTATGTGTAATGGATTGCATTGCATGTGACACTGAAAGTGAGCTCCGTTTTCTCCCAGACACATGAAGGGGTATGAGGGTATGTACCCGGGAGTTGCAAACAGAGGTTAAACATCGTGACGGCTGCCCGGCACCTACCTCATCACTCTGACGTGGGGGCATCCCAGCTTGTTCGAAGCTCCATATACTGAGGATCACATTGCGCCTTGTTTCATTCAGATTGCTTCCTCCAAGTGAGAGTTATTACAGAATATTCAGGGCCTCTTTTGGCCTCTATTGTAAATGATTAACATTTATTAGTGTAATGAATTGTTTGAATCTAGCATAATTTAGCATAATTAGCTCTAAAGTGGTAGGGTAGAGTAACATTAACTTAAGAGTTGGCTTAGACTGAACATTTAAAGTATATGTGCTTTTGGCTGGAAAATAAATTTAGCTCAGTAAGTTATATATATCTGATATTTATATAGCCTAGTAGTTCACATTCCCAGTTATCGTGGTAATTTGTATTCAAATTTTATTTTTTACTTTACGGCAGTGCATCAACACTGACACTGTTTACTTTGAATGATGTTACCCTGGGCTAAGAATTTAATTTGGAATGTGGACACTTACACTGTAAAAATAGCAAGACCAGACTGTTAACCCACAAACACGGGTTACAAAAAATGCTGCCTTTCACATTGGAACCATCATGCTACCCCAACTTCTACAGTGTACTGCCAAAGATCACTGTGCTGAAGATCAGGATACTGGTGGCACTAAATAAATATATCTCACTGGCTTTATCCCATAGTCACTGCCTGGTGAGTTAGCTCATTGTAGCACAGCACAGCCAGCTATATTAGCATTGGACAATCCATTAGTTTCCTAAACTTACTGAAGCAGGGTCAACTCTGCCTCAGAATTGAATGGTACCGAAAAAGGGCACCGACAGATGGCACAAGCAGAGTGCCAAACCCAAAGCTACACATACTGCAGCACACCATTGGCACACTACCCTCCTTTAGTCTGGTCAGTGCTATGAAAGTGCAGTCAGCTAACTCAAATGCTAATGCAACTAAGCTACTACTGCCTCTGCAGCTAGAAAACAGATTTAAGCAACTGAGCAACACAGTGGAGGACATCTCCAGTATTAACGAAGCTCTGACGCAAATGAAAACGAAGCTGGTCACCCCACAGTGCATAAAAACAAAGAGCGGAACCAAGACAGTAGCTGCTTGGTGCCCAGCACCATACAAATGCCACCATACAAAATGTAAGTAGCAGGGTGATGGTACAGAGCACTGGCTCGTTGGCGGCACAGCAAAGTCTTTGTCCTAAAAGAGCTTAATTACATTGAGAATTTTAATATTCTCTTGAGACATAGACAGCTGTTTGAATTAAATGTCCTCAAACAGGACTGGTGTGCGAGTGCTAACAGATCACCTCTTTTTCTGTGAGTGGTGTGTTTTCTGTGAACATCAGATGGTGTAACCCAGGACATGTGACAGTGAAGGAAATAATCTGCTGTCGGGATATTGAACTGCTGGTGGTGAGTCTCCATCCCTATTACATGCCTAGGGAGCTGTTTGTGTTTACATTCCTCCTCGTGCGGATGCTGATACGGTGTGTGATGTCATACACGCAACAATCGCAAGACTTCAGACCCAGTCTTTCATTGCTATCTCTGGTGATTTTAACCACATTACACTGGACTCAATGCTCACTGCTTTTTACCAGTATTTAGACTGCCCCTTTAGGAAGAACAGGACAATTAACAGACAAGTCCTGTGCTGCTGAGCTGGGCACCCCTACAGCACATCTTCAGCCTGAGGCTGCACTTGGGGAGGGTTCCCACACTGTGAAAGACATCATGCCTCATTCCAGTACCAAAGAGGGGGCGACCCAGTTGACTCAGTGACTTCAGGCCGGTTGCTCTAACATCACGTCATGAAGACCCTGGAGCGCCTGCTTCTACACCTTCTCAGACCCCAGGTTCGACATGCAATGGACCCCCTGCAGTTCACCCACAGGCCACCCACACAGCTAATCTCTATTGAGGGGGTTGAAGTGGAGAGGGTAATGACCTACAGGTATCTTGGTCTGCAACTGGATGATAGCTTGGACTGGTCAGCCAATACAGACATCCTGTACAGGAAGGGGCAAAGCCAGCTCTACTTCTTGAGGAGGCTGAGGTCCTTTAACATCTGTAGGTCCTGCAGATCTATCAGACCGTGGTTGCCAGCTGTCTTTTTTTATGCTGTGCATAAAAAAAGCAAACTAAATAAACTAAAATAAACATGAACACAATATAACTGCTCTGTGCAGTGTGTCCATTCTCTGTAGTGCATTTATCAGGTATCACAATTCCTCCTGTGGGGGGAACTAATCCAGTCCAAACTGCTTTGAAGTAGAAGTGAAAATTTCAGCAGCTTCCATTTTGTGAAGAGAACTTCATAAACAGAGAGAAAAAGCACAGAGGTAATTACAGAAGATTAACACACAGAATTTACTTTCTCACTACAATATATTTCAAAGAACAGCTTTCAGATGAAGTTAACATGTAGACTTCACTACTTCTGTGTGTGTGTTTACAGGATTAGGTCTAATCTGAAGGAGGAGTCATGACCTCAAAAATGAGCTTCTCTGAGGAGCAACACTCACAGAAAACTGAGAGGTGAGAGAATAATAATAATAATAATAATAATAATAATAAGTGTTTATTTATGTAGCACCTTTCATGCATTAGAGATAAAGCTCAAAGTGCTTTTAAGTAAAAACAACATAGAAAGAAGGGAAAAATCGTAGTAATTAAAACAAGCACATAATAAAAAAAAATCCAAAACATAAATGTAATAATAGAAGAGGGGCTACTCTAATAATAATTTTAAATAAAAATGCACAAGATCAAAGTATAAATAATAGACAATAGACCACTCAATCCATGTGGCATAGAACAAGGCAGGTAATATAAAAAATAAAGCCATTTAGAAAATTAAAAAGTAAAAACATAAACAATTTAAATTCATAATGAAAAAGACTGAATAAAATAAAAAAAGAAAGATCTGTCCATGCCATTTTATCAGCTTCCTTTTTTTGTTCTAAACAACTTTATTTAGCATCTCAGTGTTCATAAGCCTTTACCTAAAGAAACGAATCATAAAATTCCATGACTGTAACATAATTTTCCTCCATTTGTATGTTTAAGTGTGACTCAGAGAGAAAGACCAGACTCACCTGAACCCAGTTGTTTCTCCATGAAGAGTGATCAGTCAATGGACCCTCCATTAAAATTCAGGGAGAAGGACAGTTCTACCGAGCTGAGGTAAAGATAATTACAACTGCTGAGAAGAAGAAATTCACTTAAGTTTCTGTAAATGATTCTTTTTGAGTTTAATAAGACTATTGAGTTTAATAAAAATCCACAGACAGATCAATGAACAGTGATATCCTATCTGAGCAAATCACGCTGTGAATGTTAAATGTTCAATTTTAATGCCGTTTGCAACAAGGCATCTCTGCAATTATCAGTTCTCATTAGAACAAAACATTAATTAAAATTAAATACAGACAGAGAAAATGTGTGGAAAATGATTTAAGATTAAAACTCTCTCGTATGGAGCCCAACATTATAGAATCATGTGCATCATATCATGCTCATTAATCTGGGGGAAGTTATTAATTATTCATAATTTTTGTGGGTCTACTGATGATCAAATAATTTGTTTGATATTACAGTATTGTGAGGGATTGAATATCATATTTGTTTGGTCCATTAACAGTCCAATATTAAGATTGAAGACATCAAAACTACGAAAGCACAAGGAACACATATGGAATTATGTAATAAACAAAAAAGTGTTAAACAAACCAGAATATGTTTTATACTTTAGATTTTCCAAAGTAGCCACCTTTTGCTTCGATGACAGTTTTGCACAGTTTTGGCATTCTCTCCATCAACTTCATGAGGGAGTCACCTGGAATGTTTTTTTGCCTTGTTTAGAGTTAATTTTGTGGAACTGCTTGTCTTCTTAATGTGTTTGAGACCATCAAAGCGAGACTCACTGAAATATTTAGTAATCTGCAGAAGGCCTGTCAAAAACATGAAGTGAACTGTGTGCCCCGGTTGGAGACAATGTCTTCCGGAATTCCGAAGAATCAAAACACTTCACAAAACAGGGTTTCTGCTGTGTCTTTGGTAGTGGGCAGTTTGGGGGGAGGGTCACCCGGTGCCGAGCTCTGGAAAATCAATCTACTTTAACAAAAATAGTGTGATTACCCTGAGACAATAGCAAAAGTGATAGTCAATTGATAAATGGGACGAGGGTGATAAGGAACAGGTAGTGGTTCTACGAGATAAGCACGTAGTTGGTTAGTTAATTTGCTTTGTGGACAAATTTGACAGGTTCTAACCGTCTGTGATATCTTTCGCTACAGAGAGCCATCAGAATTCAATCTTAACTAAGGGGAGGTTGCACTGAATGCCTGGATGACCATAGCTCAGTGAAGAGGGACACAGTACTACACAGAAAGGGAGAAGAATGGTTTCAGATAGTATGGTTTATTCAGTTTCATACATACATAGTAAAGTCCATCTGCTAAGCTAAGGGATGCTGGAACAGAACAGCTCTGATTCTGGTTTCTGAAGTGTCTACTTCCACTATGAAAGGGGGAGAGGAATCTGATGGTGAATGGGAGCAGAGGTGAAGCTTTGCTTCAGTGATTCGAAAGCTGTAGTGGCTCCCATGTTCCACTTTAGAGTTTTGAGTTTTCTATTTCCTTTAGAATAGAAGTAAGAGGAGCTGCCACACTACTGAACCTATGTATAAACCTCCTATGGAAGCTTGCAAAACCGAGGAACTGATGTAGCTCTTTCACTGATTTGGGCTGAGATCACTGTGTGATCATGCTGACTTTTGATATAAACGTGCTCGCCGGTGTGATACTAAAGCCATCAGTGGAATAAATCATGGCCAACTTTCAAAACTGGTTGAAACTTCCCTTCCTAACCGTCGCTGCTTTAACCTCGTCCATCTTAACACACAATCCATAACCAATAAAGCCTTGTTAACCAATGACCTCATCACCCAGAAAAAAGTGGATATGTTTTTTCTCTCAGAAACTTGGCAACAACCTGGTGACTACTTACATTTAAACATGCTGATGCCCCCAGGCTACAGTTATCTATCAAAATCCCGACTGAAAGGGAGAGGAGGTGGTTTGACTGTGGTTTATCATTCTGGTTTAATGGTCAAAGATCTTACACTATTTAATGCTACATCCATTGAATATATTGCTTTGAAGGTTGTTTCCTCCTCGTCTCTACTCTTGCTGTTAGTTTATTGTCCTCCCAAACCTGCTGCTGCTTCTTGTCTGAACTCAATGAACTCCTCACAATCATCTCATCTCTTTGCTCTGCCATAATTGTGCTTGGTGACTTCAATATCCATGTTGATACTGAATGCTCTTTTACATCTGAGTTCATTTCAGTTTTAGAATGTTTTAACATGATGCAGCATGTTGATTTTCCAACTCGCACTCATGGTCATACTCTTGATCTGATCTGTTCTACTAGTTTGAATGATATCTCTGTCTCTGGTTCAGTCTCTGGTGTCTCTGACCATCAGCTCATTGAATGTAGTTTTCATATTTCTACTCCTCCCCCCCTCCGAGAAAATCTCTGTTGTCTATCATGATATTAGGTCTGTCAGTCTCAATCTGTTTGCTGCTACTCTTCAGTCTTCAGCCCTGTCTGACCTATATAACCTATCATTCCCTGAAAGTATGGTTTCCCTTTATAATGACAATATCTCTGGATTGCTTACTGATTTAGCCTCTTTTAAGAATAGACTTCGCCCTGCCACCTGCTCGTGTCCTTCTTTCACCCCTGAACCAAGACTACTGAAGGCCATTGGTCGGCATCTTGAGCGCCTTTTTAAAAAACTGGTCTTACTGTCCCCTCTCTACTTTACAGTCAACACATCCACAAGTTTAGGGATGCCCTTAATACTGCCCACTCCAACTGCTACTCCTCTATTATAAGTAATGCTAAGTCTAGGCCGAAAACACTCTTTCGAACTGTTAACAAACTCCTCCATCCTCCTGTGTCAGCGTGCCCCATTCAGCTGAGCAATGTCAGGCTTTTCTACATTCCTTTGAAAAGAAAATTAATCACATCTATAGTTTTTTTTCCTTCTACTTCTCAGTCATTCGCCTTTACTGATTTTCCTACTTTGGATACAAACCTTACTTGTTTCACACCTGTTGACTCCTTTTCTGTCTCTGAACTCATCACTAAGTCTAATGCTTCCTCCTGTCAGCTTGACCCTGCCCCCACCCCTCTACTCAAGGCCTGTTCATCTGTAATCAACACTCCAATTGTTACAGTTGTAGCCTGTGTGACACTAGGTACCAGCTGGGATGGAAACAGAAGGGGCACTAGGACCCAGCAGGAAGGCAAGTTGTCAGTGTTGAGAGCAAACGCAAATATCTTGAGCTCTCACGAGATCCGTGCTATGCTGGCATTATTCAAACAACGTGCTTAGAATGCCACTGTAGTTTGGAAGTTCCGACTTTTATTCGTGTGTACGCACTGGAAACAGTATGTGATTATTTTAGCAGGTTTATTGATATGTGCACTGTGGTAGTGGTTTGCCCTGCTTAAACAGTCAGAAAGATGAGATACAGGTAACTACTTTCAATTGTTAAAGCTAAGCAATGCCGTTGGGGCTTTTAATGTGTTTTAGCATTTGTTCTAGTCCCAAATGCTACAGGCTAGCGCTTCTTACTGTGGGATATTTATTATGTTTAGTTAATTGTGGAGGCTGGTGACTGAAGGAGAGCTTCCAGAGGGTGTCAGCAGTCACAGTTACTGATGTAACCTACAAAGAGGTAATGTGTGCCTATTTCACACAGTGCTTGTAAGAATCACTGGGGCTAAGGCTACAAGGCTATGGGTGCTAATAGGATTTCCAGCTTAACTTTACTGGAGGTTTAAGCTGTTGCAGCACTTGTGTGTATACATATTGAAACTAACTTTTGTCTCCTTTTGTAGAGTGGCTGAATAAACTTATGGTATTAACACATCAGTTGTGTGATCTATGTATGTTTAGGTGAACTTGTGCTGGAAAAGTACTGCTAAACAGGGTTCTCCCGCCCTTTATAACTAGGGAGTGGCGTAGTCTGTATTTTACTTGTATTTTTAGAGGCCACACAGTGATAAATTCAGGTCTCTCTTCTGGTTTTGTTCCTACTGCCCTTAAAATGGCTGCAGTTACTCCTATACTTAAGAAACCTGAATTGGACCCGACTTCTCTTTCTAATTGCAGACCCATCTCACACCTTCCATTTTTAGCTAAAGTAATGGAAAGAGTGGTTGCTTCTCAACTCCAGACATTTCTCGGTGATAATGCCCTCTATGAGCCATTTCAATCTGGTTTCCGTACTCACCACAGCACTGAGACAGCTCTTCTGCGAGTAGTTAATGATCTCCGGTCTGCTGATAGTGGTTCTCTCAGTATTCTCCTTCTCCTCAACTTAAGTGCAATGTTTGATGCTGTTAATCATGATGTTCTCATTTCTCGTCTCTTCTCTATTGGTATCACTGACACAGCCTTACAGTGGTTCAGGTCTTATCTTATAGACAGACAGTAGTTTATCACACTAGGTCCAAACAAGCCCTCCACCTCTCCTGTTTCATATGGTGTCCCTCAGGGCTCAGTTCTTGGACCCTTGCTTTTTTTAATCTACATCTCACCCCTTGGCCAGATAATTCATAGCCATGACCTCAACTTATGCTGATGATATTCAGTTATATCTCAGTACACACACACCGTCAGATTCCCCCCCCAACACACTAATCGATTGTATTTCTGATTTAAAGCTCTGGATGCATAATAACTTTCTCATGCTAAACACTAATAAAACTTACGTAACATTGTTCGTCTTTGCCCGTTCCTGACTGATAATGATGCAAAAACTTTGGTTCATGCCTTCATTATGTCCCGTATTGACTACTGTAACTCCCTCTTTGTTAGTCTCCCTGTAAAGTCTATACAAAAGCTACAGTACATTCAGAACTCTGCAGCTAGAGTTCTCACCCATACTAAGTGTTCAGCTCACATCACCTCCATTCTCTTTTCAACTACACTGGCTTCCAGGTTCCGTCTTGTAAAAATGTTTTAAATTTTACTACTCACTTTCAAAGCCCTGCATAACCTTGCTCCCCCCTACCTCAGAGAACTGCTGACCTATTACACTCCCTCTCGCTCTCTCAGGTCTTCTTGTAATAGCTTAATTGTTTGCTCCTC